TGTGATTAATAGATAATTAGGTCTATTTCTGACATCTGTGCAATCTGCAATCACTTAGTAATGCATCAATCTTCATAATTGTGTTACATGTATCTGCGTCTTATCAATTCAAAGGGATTTGTCTGATAAATATGTCATGCAAAATTTGAGTCAACAATAAAACAATAATCTAATATACCTCAGATACCGTCAACAGGTCAACTTCCTTATGGACATGACCGTGATATTGCTGGAATATTGCCAAAGCGGCGTAAAACCTTACTCACTCACAGACTCTCTGGACAGGATAATCCAGTGATAGATTTTGTGAACAACGATTCATACCGTCATTGATAAGTATTCGTGTATAATTTACTGAATAGCGAATAAGGAAATATTTAGTAAATCAAAATTCGTCTTTCACTCTCCTGAATTGTTTGTCTCGTGTTTGTCATATAGAGACATTTCAGCTTCCAAGCAATGTGTCCCGTCTTCAGAAACCTACTCTCTTTTCATAATTGAGACATGAGTTCTCAGGTCAAGGGGGCGGTCGGGTAGCCTAGTGGTTAAAGCGTACGCTCGTCACGCCGAAGACCCGGGTTCGATTCCCGACATGGGTACAATGTGTGAAGCCCATTTCTGGTGTCCCCCGTCGTGGTATTGCTGGAATATTGCTTAACGCGGCGTAAAACCATACTCACTCTCGGTTCAGGAAGTTTTGCAGTTGAAGCTGAAACAATATCGAGTCTCAATACAAAATCCTAGACCCCACCCACCCGGAATATCAAACATAACATATACCTCTAAATATAATTGGAAATGAATATAGACTGCCATGTTGTCTGACTGTAGATAGGGTTTGTAATCAACGGATGGGGATTCCAAAGGAAAGAATTTATTATAAGAGGGAATTGGTAGTGAATACTTGTGAATATGTGTGAATACTTGTGAATACCAAGTACATGACGTTATAAACAACATGGAAAAGTGTAATGATCATTATTCTCCCAACACTGTAAATAAACTTAAGTTTATCAGCCTTAATTAAGGATTGACTGGGTATATACAGTCAATGCTTATAATTAAATTCGACAACATAAAACATGTTTTATCTACAATAGTTTAACCCAAAACAGTTGCATATATCAAAACAGACAAAAATGACGACATTGACAAACATTCCAGGTGTAGGAATACATACAGTGGCGTGACATAAATCAGGTGATCGTTTAATTTATGCACATAACTTGACACGCCTACACAGTCAGTAGCCAATCAACGGAGAGTGGGATTAAAACAATGTTCATTGGACATGTCAATTAAGGCAAGAGGCAACAGTCAGACTGTAACGAACCGGAAGAAATATGTCCGAGAGAAGGCGGCTGTTTCAAATAACATGGCCAATTACTGCGTGATTCAAACATTACTTCCCTGATAACGGTAAAACACAGTTGGAGAAATGCTAGTTAGAAATGAAACCCGAAGACATGGAAGTTGAACCGAAGCGAGCGAGAAAAAAACAGGCGAGCGAGCCTGCACGTTTGCTGTTTCATTCATTCTCGGCCTTCGGTTTCAAAGGGTAGTTTGGACAATGAATATGCATGAAAGTCGCTTAATGTCCTGTGTATGACGATACACGTGAGCAGAAAGGGAATTCCCTCGACTGTAATATTTGGATTCCCGACATTCCACAGTAATAAAAGTAGTGCACCGCGGTGGGCGTGGCTTATTGTTTTACATTCATTGGGAAAAGAATGCAATAACACGTGACCAATTCAGCTAATCAGATTGCAGGAATTTCCATGAACACAACGAAAATTTAATTATTGTATGTTGAAATAGAAGGAAATTAGAATATCCAGAATGTACATCTCTAATTGATATACATGTAGCTGATATCATTCGTTTGCAAAGAAACAAAAACAGATTCACTTGATGAGAATGATATTAGAGGTTATCTGTTATACTTGGAAACAATTTCAAAAGGAAGTCTTGTGGGATTGGTTTAGCAGTCCGAAATAAATACTCTGACTATATCTCTCTTGTTGACTACAATTGTGAATATGTTAAATGACTCTGTGGATCCAAATCATTATTTAACTTTGACAGTGACCTGTGTCTAGGAATACTATATCTATCCCCAACAGGTTCTAAATGTGCTAAAGATGATATTATTTCCTTTGAGAACAATCCATTTTGCACAAGCATATTTTACTTATGGGTGAGTTTAATGCAAAGACTAGAACACTGAAAGATTACTTCATTGTAGATAAACACATCATCGGCGAACTGGATATAGATAATGAAGAAATGAAAGATATATATGAACCTAAAAATTGTACCTCGATCTTTTATCTTTACCAACTACAAGAAGTAATCAAGATCAAGGAATAGTCAATAGCACAGGATTTAAGTTAGTAGAATATGTATATTTGTAACGGCAGGCTAGATAAAGACAAAGGAGTTGGTAAAGCTACTTGTAAAGATTACCGTTCAGATGATTATGTCTTACCTTCATGTATGTGCATCCATGTTTTCATGAATTTGATATTTTTGAATTTCTCAATGTGTACTCAGATATCCATTGCCCAGTTACGTTTTCACTTACTTTAAATGATAGGAATACAAACATAGTCAGTACTAATAGTAAGCAAAATAAAATTTCAAACATCCCCGTAACATCACGATGCAAAACCAAAACATTATGAAAAGGATAAAGTCAATGAATTTGTAAATAACATCAATACAGAAGCTGTCTCAATGCTGGCCCATTTATTGAAGTCAACAAAAGGTCATGACGACCCAGCACGTGCTATTGATGAATTTGCATATGAAATCGTGCGTCTGCTCACTGATGCAGCACGCGTGACGACTGGTGAAGGGCGTGCCGTTCAAAACATCCCCGTAACATCACGATGCAAAACCAAAACATTATGAAAAGGATAAAGTCAATGTATTTGTAAATAACATCAATACAGAAGCTGCCTCAATGCTGACCACATTTATTGAAGTCAACAAGAGGTCATGACGACCCAGCACGTGCTATTGATGAATTTGCATATGAAATCGTGCGTCTGCTCACTGATGCAGCACGCGTGACGTCTGGTGAAGGGCGTGCCGTTCGCCTCGGTCCGAGTTAAAAGTAAAAATAACAAATCCTGGGTTGGGACAGAATGTAGAAATATATGTGAAATATTTTATGAATCAAAACGCTGATATAACAGTGTCAAAATCATTATATTTTTCTTCAAGTTTTATCAAATTCAAATATATTCTACTACTTTAAGTTTCACATTCCCAAGCCAGTAAACGCTACATATACTCAACAACAAAAGTTCCTGTGACACCAAATTTTCAGTGTAGTTTTCAAACAAGTAAAGTTTGGTTTTCAATATTGTAGTACATGTATGGAATCAAGTCACAAAAACACAACTGCAACAGAAAAGCATGCATTCCATGCAAAAATTGACTTTTATGCAAGCCCCATGCATTTCACTACCCCAAAATGGGTGTAAAAACATGTGCGTTAACGGGATTCCATATGCATTGTTTAGCATCGTGCTGACAACAACCACTCAGAAAACAACAAAATTACGCAATTATTCAACATTACTAAATACCACGCCTGTCCGAAAATGAGCGTCTGCGAACCATTTGGTGTTTATGGCAACGTTGTCAACAGACGAATGCAGTCAGAGATCATCCTCGGAGTGTCAGGCCACGTGTAACACTCGACAAGACAACCGGATTCGAACAACACACCTACGAAATCGATTCCAGCCAGCGACAGAGACTTCAAGAAGCACCCATGGCCTGCGATGAATATCTTCACAAACCGTACGTCGTCGCCTCAGATGTGCAGGGACTGTCGCAAGAAGACCTGCCAGACGTCCCATTTTGAGAGGAAACCACCGTCAAGCACGTCTCCAGTGGAGCAGACAGCGTCTACGCTGGACGGCCATGCAATAGGGACAAGTTCTATTCACTGACAAGACTCGTTTTTCACCTCAGCCACAGCGATGGACGGATTCGAGTATACCGACGCCGAGGTGAACGTTACGTCAATCATTGTGTCATGGAAGAAGATCGATTCCGGGGCGGCAGCGTTATGGTATGATGTGGGATTACAGGAAGACAGAAGACCCGTTGGATAGTGGCAGAGGTAAATCTCAATGGACAGCGCTACCGCGACGAGATCATCGGCCCTGTTGTTCTACCGTCATGGCCCAGGCATTACCTTTCAACATGACAACGCCCGGCCTCATATTGCTCGACTTGTTCAGGAACTCTTCAACAAAACAACTTGAATGTCATCCCCTGGCCGGCTCGCTCCCCTGATCTCTCACCAATCGAGCACATAAGGGATGAGATAGATCGGCGCCTTCGACGTCAACCACGTATTCCATAGACACTTCGGGAACTTCGAAACATGCTCAAGCAGATATGGACAGATATCCCACAGGACTTTGTGCGACGCCTGGTCCATTCCATTAGACGAAGATATGTTGCTTGCATCGCAAGCAGAGGTGGACACACACGCTATTGATTTGTAAATTGACATTTTGGCATGTTCATGTTTTTTTTTTAAGAAATCAAACATTTTCTGAAGTCAGTATGGCAAATTAAATCATTTGAACACTTACAGGAGTCCTTATCTGTTGCAAACCGAAATTGTTTCAGATTTGGTTAAAAAACATAACTTTGCATTAAATCTTATTCAATGTCACAGGAACGTTTGGTGTTCAGTATAGTTTACAGGACTTGTATCATAATACATCGTACGTAACGCTTGGAGATGCAGGCTGTCGAAACCAGTCAAACGAGCTAGCAATTGCTAATCAGCTATCGCTACTGAAATTCTAGACCCGTCTGACCAGTTTCAAACATAGCCGACCAGCCAAAAAACAATTAACTAAGCAAGTCAGCACATCGAAAATTGCATAATTTGACCAAAATGTGGGAAGCCATTGTTATCAATTCCAAACTGGACAGATGGGTAGTGACATGCTTTCAAACGTGGACTAGAGGTCTCGGGTATAAATGCAGGGGTATCTTGCCATTGAGTCGTTCCTGCATTTCGCCTGAGAACCTCTCTGTCTGTTTTTGAAGGTAAGTCACTTTGACTTATTACTTTGCCATTTTTTTGTAAAACTAGTTGTAAATAATTCTTACTTTGTTGCTCTGCTGGTACAATGAACTTATGTTACAGTTGATCAAAAAGATCGGTTTGAAATCAACGATTTGGCGGCTATATGTTAATTTCGTGTAGTTCAACTAGACATCAAATACTATGTTGAATAATAGAGAATAATAGAACGATTTGGCGGCTCTATGTTAATTTCGTGTAGTTCAGCTAGACATCAAATACTATGTTGATTAATAGAGAATAATAGAGCGATTTGGCGGCTATATGTTAATTTCGTGTAGTTCAGCTAGACATCAAATACTATGTTGAATAATAGAGAATAATAGAACGATTTGGCGGCTATATGTTAATTTCGTGTAGTTCAGCTAGACATAAAATACTATGTTGAATAATAGAGAATAATAGAGAGTCCCGGATAAAATACCAGCGTTAGTATTCCAGTCGTTAAAGTATCAATCTAACGTTAGCCATTTGGTGTTGTGTCCTATTATTTCCTATTTTATTTAGGCTTGCGACAAGGAGAACATTGCTTGTATTTTGTCTCTTTATCAATGATCTTGAAAAATTCCTCATGAAAGACGGATGCACGAGTGTTAAAATTGGCGATGTGAACGATTTACATGTACATTTATGTATATCTGTTTCTTAATCCTTCTGCATGCTGATGACACTGTCCTCTTTGTTGATCCTGCAACTGAATTCCAGAATACATCAGATTCTCTTAAAAAGGAATTGCAATATTTGAAAATTAGACGTCAACACAGAACAAAACTAAAGATTTTATATTGGGACGCGGACTGTCCAAAAACAGTAGACTATCTCCTTATTTGGAAATTACGGAAATTTAGATCGTAGACACTAATTATTATGCGTACTTATAATGCTTATTTGTAATAGTATTGCATTACATGGCTGTGAAATTTTGGTGTGTGAAAATATGAACATACTTGAAAAGATGTTTTTTAAATTGCCTGTGGTCTTAAAAATACAAACCCACATTTTATGGCTTGTGGCGAACTAGGTAGAATACCCTTATTGATATATGCAGCTGAACGAGTAGCTAGGTTTTGGCATAAACATGCAGGCAATGTGATGTTGCAACTGTGAAATGATTTAAGTAGAAATTACATTATTTGACCTTGAGCTCACTCATGACAGTCACTCAAATAAATGTGATAATGGGATGACCATTGCTAATGTGAGTTCACTCACTTTGGTTGTTTTGGGTATAAATGCCGAATAATTTTGAGACGCTAAACTAAACTATCCCTTAAAATCCCAGAAATAAGCTTAAACCTACCCATCTCCAAATCAGAAATTAAAAGTGTCAACAAACAAAAAATCACCAAAAAATGGCATAACCTATATCTAAACTCAAATAGCCAAATCAAATAGGTTCTCAAAAAAAACCTAACCAAACCAAAAATTCTACATCAGTCCAAAAAAATCGACAGAGTAATCATTAAACTCCAAACAGGACATACCAACCTAAATAACCACCTCAAAATAATAAGAAAACACGCAACAGGAACCTGCCCACATTGCAAACAACAAGAAACCCCAGAACACGCACTCATACACTGCACCCACTACCTAACACACCGAACTACACTACAAACCACCCTAAATATAAATAAGGCTCTTACTCTAGAAGCAATCCTAAACCCACAAAATAAAATAGAAAAATTCAAAGCCTTAGGCATATACTTAATCAAAACAGGACTAATAAATCGCATTTAAAACCCCAATAAACTACCAAAACCAAACCACATAATCAAACTAACAAACTTCCATACTCAGCTCCCTTAGTTCGCCCCCCAAACCCTTTTGGCATTTTTTCCAAATCTCAAAATTTCCAAAATTCTATATAAGCAACCACTAAAACACCCCTACTTTTTCCCCTTTTCGGAAACACATTAAATGGCCTGGCCGGGCCCGTGTGCGAAATACGCTGCAGTCGGAAAGCGCATGTAAAATCTCCAATATAAGTAAGTAAGAGACGCTATTACTTGGCCTTTGATTTCGTGCAACCACTTCCAGACCACCGGACCCCGCACCAATAACCATTTGGAGGGATGGCATTGAAGACTGATGCAGTTGTTACAGAAGGCACATCCTGATGTCGTCGAGATGCTGTCTTTCCTCAAAGAAGAGGAGAAACTGAACGAGCTCCGACAGGTTCGATCGACGCCGGGCAAAAATTGCCACCAAGGAAAAAGAAATACAGACATTAACAGAAGTCTGAATCCATTTAAACACAGACAGCAGACTGCTGACATGGATGTCTTCCATATGCAGATGCTTCATCCCACCTGCTTAAATTGCCACGAACTGTGACAACTGTTTCAAAACGTGTTCAAACTGTGATACAAATTGTTAAAGATAGTTATATGTGAATAAACGTGAGAAGAGTCTATTTTTCATTCCCCAATTAGTGTTTACCCAAATGCTTGTAATCACATTAAACTTCCTTCGTTCTAAAAAAGGCAACCAGTACGGTGTCCTCCCAAAACGCCTATAGCTACAACCCAAAACATCTACAATCGACAATCTTGTACAACCTATCTTAACGTATGGTGCAGCAATTTGGGGAACCAGAGAATTTTGTTGCATAAATGCCATCAAAAATAGAGCGTGCCGCTTTTTCTTGGGTGTAGGAAAAACTACTCCTAATTTGGCCGAAAGAGGGGAGATGGGTTGGTCATCAACTATTACTAAACATAAAATCGAAGTTGTGCGTTTCTGGAAGAAGTTGAATTCAGCTCCCCCGCAGAGAATTATAGCGCGTATCAGAAATTGGTCTCTATCATACCGAAAGTCCTGGGACAGCAGAGTTGTAAGAATGTTTGGTTCTTTGGATCTACCATTTTTTTTATCTGTATAATATTGGTAATATAGATTTCCAAATTTTGAAATAAAAATTGATAGAACTTGATAAAGAAAACTGATTTCGTGGACTTTGGAATGACACTGGCCATACTACTACAGGTAATAAGCTTAGAACGTTTAGACTGCTTAAAAATACACTGAATGTTTCATTTTATGTACGTCACATTCTGGATAGATCACAACGAAGCACTTTAGCTAAACTTCGCTGTGGAACTTTACCCTTAGAATTAGAAAGAGGTCGTTATACACGCCCGAAAACCCTGTTTCTGAACGCGTCTATAATTTATGTAACGGCCAAACTGTTGAAGATGAAGTTCACTTTTTGGTAACGTGTGACTGTTAAGAGATGTAAGCCCCATCGAAAAATTCGAAACATAAATTTCACTATTCTGATAAGACTCTAGATATTGTCGACACTTATACCTGTAAATTATGTAATTCTCCATCTATTGCTGATGAATTTCACTACTTATTCAAATGTAATTTTTTTAAAAGAGAGAGGCAAACATTTCTCTCATCATATTATACTGAATGGCTAAATATTATAAAATTTGTAAAACTCTTATCAACAACAAATTTAAACACACAGGATCTAAAGAATTTATCGAGATCTGTTGTAAAAATGTCCATTAGTAATAAAAATGCTAGGTAATCACATGTTGTTTATTAACTGCCATCTTGTCTGCTTTTTGTACATATACATAATTATTTATTGTAATATGCTCTTGTACCACCTTTATGGTTTTTGAGAATAAACTGATTCTGATTCTGATTCTTTTCATGTCGCAACTACTGCAATCTTCGGAACAATATGTACCACTATATAAACGGATATGACTTGGATTCAGTATGATATGGAAATGCTACAACATCTACTGATAGTAACCTTGCTATTGTACAATCTGTCCATTTGTTCATTGCAAAATCTAAAAGATTTAAAATCTAAATATGTCTTCTTAACGATTACATCGATCAAATAGTTGTTTGTATGTGTGATATGCTGGTATGCTGTTTGTTTATGTACGGATATATGTACATGTATGTGTGTATTTGTGTATTTTTTTATTATTCTTTATTCAGTACGATAGAGGCCACAGGCCCTTTGTACAAAATGTATGGCATATTTATGGCAACAGTCACAATGATAAAATACGTGTTCTTTCTTCTTTACTGTGATACAGATATTTAGCGATATTGATAATGAGCTTTGTGTTGGTTGTATATAAAAGAATATTAAACTTATTAAACTTAAATACCTTTACATAACCGGGTGATTGTGATAACCAAACATGAACGAATCCGAGGGAAAATAACGTTGTTCTAATATTAATAACCCAATTCTTCTTTCCTTGACTATCGTATAAATACAACATTGCATAACACTTTTTAGGTAAGCGGTTACCCGGCATATACATTTAACGTAGCCAATATTTGAAAGCTCTCATCATTGCATTGATATGTAAAGGGAATCTGCCACATTCACCCAATACAGCGCTACTTGATGTACATTTATTAACATTCAATAACCATTTACACGCATATAAATTAATTTCTCAACTTCTTCCATTTTATGGAATGCCCATATTTCTTACCCATACAGTGACATACATGTAGGATATATCTTGGAGTCAAACCATCTGAAAAGAAATTTTGGAGAATAAGGTTGTAAACAATTAAATAAATGCTTTGTAGTAGGTTCATTAGTACCATTTTAGCTTGAACTGCTATGTTGCTTAAAGCCTGTGTCCATGAAAGCCTGCTGCTAAAATACAAACCTAAATATTTATACTCTTGTGTGAATTCCACAAGTTGTCCATTTAGATACCATTTTTCACTTTTTTTCAGCCGCCCACCTTTCTGAAAAACTACAATTTTAGTTTTTTCAATATTAACTGACATACTCCAGTCTACACAATACTTATCTAAGATAGATAAGTCCTTCTGTAGTCCCCCAATAGTGTCTGAAATTAAAATCAAATCATCTGCAAAGAGTCATAATAAAACTTGCATAATATCAGGATGTAACTGTACTCTATATAGCTGCTCATGTTCCATTGTGTGTACAATTTCATTT